TAGGGAATGGAATAAGAGACCTAAGTTGCTATGTCTATAAGTAGAATGGAAGTAGAATGGCTTTATAAAATCCTGTCATTTGTGATGAAGAAACTGGACTAAAAATTTGTGAATCACTGAATCACGTGATATTTTTTTCTCCCAGTTGCTTGACGGGATATGTCAACAATAGCCTATCCTTCTTTGATCTGAGTGAACTTGGTATGGGAAAATCTGGTTATTGCAGGTACTTACTTACAGTTATCTTTCCGGCTTGCTTTCACCTTTCCATCTCCTCCCCTCTACATGTTAATGATCCCATTTAATCTGTCATTTTGGCATTTTGGCAAAGCAAAATATTTAGGGCCTTCACGCTTTCATCTCTATTCTTCATTGTCTTTATTTTTGTGGATTTCAGGTACCGAGACTACAGAGGTCCCCCTTGGAGCTCCAAACCCTATGAGTTCACCTTACAATACTGGCATATCCTCGCTGCTCGATTGGCCTTCATTATCGTGTTTGAGGTTAGTCACAAACTGGGAAGAAAATTTCTGTAGTTAAAAGCTTTTCCAACTAGTGTATCAATTGCCCCTTTGAAGTTCCTCACTGACTTCCAAAAAGGACTTATGCAGGTCCCAGTGAAAGCTCAAATACTATGAATCTGTTATAACAAGTGTGAAAAAGTAAGAGCTGAATAATGTAAGCATGTACGTCAGTGGGTATTTATACCAGAAAATCAAGGTTTAAAAAAAAAAAAAACTACTGTGCAGTAGTTGGCTTGTACGTAGCTCCTAGTAGCCAGAGTTTTTTGTTTTTTTTTTAAAGGATGGTTTTCATCATCTGATAAAAGAATCCATATCTATTCATCAGGATGGAAAAATTGATTTGCTGAACAATCAACTCTAATTGCAATTGATCACAAATGTATTTGTACAAGGGACATAGGATGATCCAATACATTATGCCTGAGAACTCTTATTAAAAAATGCATAAAGTTTGATTATCGGAGTTATACAATAATGTTAGA